GCCTTAAAGGGGTCATATGATGCTGCTAAAAAGAACATTATTTTGTGTATTTGGTGTAATGAAATGTGTTTATGCGGGTTAACGTTAAAAAAAACACATTATTTTCCACATACTGTACATTATTGTTTCTCCTCTATGCCCCGCCTTTCTGAAACGCGTCGATTTTTACAAAGCTCATCAGTCTGAAAAAGCGAGGTGTGCTCTGATTGGCCAGCTATCCAATGCGTTGTGATTGGCCGAATACCTCAAGCATGTGGCGGAAATGTTACGGCCCTTACCATATTGTGATGCCCTGTCCGGCCGGAGCGTAACAGAGTATGGGTCACCATACTTGGCCACATGTCACGTCACTTTTCACTTTTTCACTTTTCACTTTTCAATATTACAGCGAGAATAAAAGTTACTCCTTCTTTCTTTGTGTGAACATTTGGGCGGTGTTATGCAAATCTTCCCACATAGTGATGTAGACATGTGGGGGCGAGAACGAGCCATTTTAGGTAGACGTGGTTGACTCTTAACTTTTATAAAGAATATCTCTTTGGATTTGAGACTTTAGTCTTTGCAACTTTACAGATCTTCTTTATGCACCAAGAGCTTGTAACACTCCAAAGCGAAAGGAAAAATTTAAAATCGCATCATATGACCCCTTTAAGGAACCCTTGTGAAAACGATGCACACTTAAGCATAATTTAATAAAGAGCCTTTATTACAGAAATAATATACTTTAAAAGACTCTACTTAAGTGTGAACTACTTTCAGACTGCATGTTAACTGCAATTAAATGAACATTTATTTGTTTAAAATACATCCTGTTTATTATATTATAATGAATATTTAATATTACATTTAAACTTTGACTATAGACTAGACATGTTGCATATTAATTGTACTATTTATAAACCTCAAAGCCTATGTTTGTGTATTTTGTGTTACTCCATAATGATGTTCTATTTGAGGGCATTTGTAGTGTAGGTATAGGGCCCAAACATAACCTCAAGCCCAGGGGCCACCCTGTATTTGTATATGTATTTGTTTATATTAAATGCAATTAGTTGAGCTAAGAGTGATTTTGTGACCCACTTAAGTAGGACTTAAGTACATCAGTCATTTCAGAATAACTTCGGTTGTCTTTGAAATGCTATTAAAGTGTACTGTTGAATGTATGGAGGCCTGTTTTTGCAACTGAATAAAAAATAAAAAATGGTAATTGTGACTTCTTATCTCACAATTCGGACTTTTTTTCTGTGTTTTTGCAATTCTGCAATTTGCAGAATTTGCAATTCTGAGAAATAGTCACAATTGTGAGTTATAAAGTCCAATTCTGAGGGAAGTAATTATTTTCTTACAATTGCGAACTTATATCTCACAATTCTGACTTTAAATCTCAATTGCATGTTATAAAGTCAGGATTGTGAGATATAAACTCGTAATTCTGAGAAATAAGTCAGAATTGTGACTTTATTTCTCAGAATTGTGAGTTTATATCTCACAGTTGTGACTATTTCTCAGAATTGCTAATTTATGTCACGCAATTCTGACTTTGTAACTCGCAATTGTGAGTTTATATCATGCAATTCTATTAAAAAAGTCAGAATTGCGAGAAAAAAAGTCAGAATTGTTAGACAAAAAGTCACAATTACCGTTTCTTTTTTTATTATTATTTAGTGGCAGAACCGAGCTACCATACGAATGTACTTACAAACATTTATGGTGAATTAAAATATACTTTAATGTCATTTCTAGTGAAACTTATATGCCATGTATTTAAATATATTAATAATTACACATTTGTAATGATGACTTAGTGCATGATGATTTAGTAGATTTAAAATATATTAACTTTAAATGTAATATAAAAAACAGTTATAATGAATATCAAGTACTTTACATGTGCTTTACTACATTAGTCAAAACATCAAAATAAGTGTATAAATGACAAAAGACTTAATGGTTTAAAATGTACTTTAAAATAAAACTTTGAATTTGACATGAATACAAAAGGTACTTTTTAAAAGTGAACTCATTAAGTTTCATTTAATTAGTATATTATGTGTAAGTACATTTTTTTAAAGATTTGAAGTACACTTATTAATACAAAAGGCACTTTTTAAAAGTGTACTTAAGTGTGTTAAGAAACACTAAGTTCGTCTGCCTTGGGAAAACTAGCTCGTCTCTGATATAGTGATAACACTCATTGCCTTCTTTAGTGCAGCTCAACCAGGTCTCGTCCCATTCGTCAATATTTGTGATATCACAAATCCCGGAAAATATGCGTTGTAGTCCAAACGAGTTGTTCGTTGTTGTTTTGGAAAAGTGATTTCTATTAAATAAAATATCTCCTTTTAAATTGGACTTTGAGCTTTTTAACTTTGCAGATCTTTTTTATGCTCAAACAGCAACATTACAGACTAACTAAAGTTGAAAAAGTGAAAAAGCTTAATAGGACCCCTTTAAGTTTATTTGTTACTTGGACTGATTCAGTTTTTCTTAACTCAATTAGTCAAAACATCAAAATAAGTGTATAAATGACAAAAGACTTAATGGTTTAAAATGTACTTTAAAATAAAACTTTGAATTTGACATGAATACAAAAGGTACTTTTTAAAAGTGAACTCTCATTAAGTTTCATTTAATTAGTATATTATGTGTAAGTACATTTTTTTAAAGATTTGAAGTACACTTATTAATACAAAAGGCACTTTTTAAAAGTGTACTTAAGTGTGTTAAGAAACAGTCATGAAAGTGAACTCTCATTAAGTTTCATTTAATTAATATTATATCATCTGTAAGTAAAATGTTTTAAAGATTTGAAGTACACTACAAGTGCACATTCAATTCAATAAAGACCACTTCTTTTTCACAAAGCAATAGGTCACCCCCCCCAAAACCCATTCATTTACTTAGCTGTCCTATACTTTTATTGTCCTTGTGAGAAATATGAGGGAAACATGAGAGGATCATGTTATCAAATCTATAAATCAATCTGTTTATTTTTAATAGGCTGGATCTTAAGAAATTAGTTTAAAGGGGTCCTATTATGCTCTTTTACAAAGTCTTGATTTTTTGGGGGGGGTGTACATGTGAACAAACATTATTTTTCACATATTTTACATTATTACAACACCTCTCTTCGTCAGTATTTGTGATATCACAAATCCTGGAAAATGTTGGTTGTAGTCCAAACGAGTTGTTCGTTGTTGTTTTGGAAAAGTGATTTCTATTAAATAAAATATCTCCTTTTAAATTGGACTTTGAGCTTTTTAACTTTGCAGATCTTTTTTATGCTCAAACAGCAACATTACAGACTAACTAAAGTTGAAAAAGTGAAAAAGCTTAATAGGACCCCTTTAAGTTTATTTGTTACTTGGACTGATTCAGTTTTTCTTAACTCACTCAACTCGACTCTATGCAAATTTGAGACTGTTCATCAAACAAAGCTTATCATATGACTTTAGAAAGCTAGGAAAATATTGCACACATCATATGACCTGACGTTATGATGCTTCTGAGGTGCTTTTGTGTGCTTTTTGAAGCTCAATGCAATTGCATGGGAAAGACTGAACAAAACAATGCAATGCAATATACAGATGCATAATTGTGTCTGTATATTGCCTAAGCAGGCCTACATATGTATAGTCTGTAATGTAGTACTCATTTTGTCCTTTAAATATTGATAAATTGCTAAAGCGTTTATTACAGACCTAATATGCATTTTATTTTGTTCTTAATTTTGTCGCATCAGCTCTAATAAAAGCTTCATGTCAGTAAGTAAAAAGAGATAAAAGAGAAAAAACAATAATGCATTCATATGCATTTATTCCAATCATAAAATAATTCTGACTTTAAAGAGTAAGTATAAACTTCTCAGGAAGATTGTCAGACACACAAAATGAGGATATATTTTCTTTTTCAGAAAAAAGTGTAACTGGCTTTTCAAAGCTGATCTAGAATCCTCAATCTGGTGTTTGAATGAGCTATTTGGACACTTAAAGCACAGTTAAAATGTATTAAATATGTGATTCATTATACAACAATATATAAACGTAGGCATCTCAAAACAAACTTTTTGACACTTACTAACTACACTTAGAAAATAAAAGGCATCAGAAAATAAGAGGTACAAAATCTGTCACTGTGGTACTCTTTTAAAAGGAACTAATATGTACACTTTAGGCATTTGTACTTTTAAGGAAGTAATATGCATCTTTTAGGGGTAAATAAGGTACAAAAGTGTACCTTTTTCAAAGGTACCACCTCAGTGACAGCTTTTGTACTTTTTTTTGTCTGAAAGTGACAAGATCCACTAAAAGTTGAAGTGTCCAAATACTTTTTGTATTCATTTCGAATTATATTTGTTTGTCATTTACAACTTTTTGATGCCCTTTTAGATAGAAATGTGTGCTTGTAATAGAATTTATTTATGAAATGCAACAATATTCATACATATTTTAATTGTCTATTTGGGGACCTTTACAAAAATGTCCAAAATATCGAACATTTATTTGAATTGCCCTGAAATAGCAACTCTTTGAGCAGAAAACAACAAAATATAAACAATGTATAACAAAATATAATCTATCGTTTTATCATAGCCTATACATTCACCAAACAAACTGCCTTTTGTGAAACCTTTGCTTGAAAAGTGCAGTTTTCATTCAAATAAATGCCACTTGTTCTTATACTTAAAGAAATGCAGTTAGTTAGTGTTTCTTAATAGTGCCTTCATAATTTTAGGATCACTGTACGTAGCAGGAAATATCACCGGTAAGTGAAACATAATAATATTGTAGATTTGGCAAAAATAGGCGTATTGACCTAGGCTACTATTTCAAGAATTTTTAATTGAACACAATGACAAGAACAAGATAAGTTCGCTCTTTCTTTACGGGCAAGACAACATCAACAGTTAACAGCAATAAGTACTCGCATGAACTGTTTGTGTTTTATCTTAACAATCAATCATCATACTAATAATATGCAAAATAAAGAACTCATCTTACCCGAAGAATGACAAAGATCAGAAGCGCCGTGCCTTTACATACAGTTTTGACAGAAATACTCCCCATCTTCATTCATGGATCGCAATATTCCCGAGCAGCCGATCTTCAAATCATCTTCAGATAAGTTCCCCCGCGGCTTTTCTCGACGATGAGCTTCTCTTCGCACTCTTTAAACCGCGTCGAGCGCTGATGTGAGAGGTGTGTGAGCTCTTGCAGAAGGTGGAGTTGACTGACCAGCAGTGTCACCAGCAGAGTTATGTTGTTGTTAATGTGAAAAGTGTTAATGTTCCGCCTCTGCTGAACGGAAACTCAACGCTTCACAACATACGGCGGTAAAGTTAGTTTGACGTTTGACATTCATTAGACATTTTTTTTTTTTTTTTGCCAATTAAACTCTGTGTCTCATCTACCCATATCTGCCTTGTTGTCTCTACATTAAACATCCTTATTTGAATCCTTGTCGTCATCCTGCCTGCCTCCACACACCGTGACATTATAATATAAAACCAATACTAAAATGTTCGGGGAAACATTCCTGTTATTGCACAAAGCTCCGTTTTTGGAATGACCATTTTATGTGTTTTATAATCATTTTACAACTTTTAATGTATGCAATAAAATAAATGCATTAAACGACAACACCATTTGATCTAAAGGTATCAAACCAACTGTAAAATATTCAGAATATTATTCCCTATAATGCACAAGGCTTGATTTTCCTGATTATGCCTTTATTGTTTTTATATACAGTACTGAATCCATATTTGTCATGTTTTATATACTGTACCCACTTAAATTAATTAAACTCTGACACAGTTTGAGATAAAGCTATCAAACCAACTGTAAAATATTCAGAATATTATTCCCTATAATGCACAAGGCTTGGTTTTTCAGATTATGCCTTTATTGTTTTTATATACAGTACTGAATCCATATTTGTCATGTTTTATATACTGTACCCACTTAAATTAATTAAACTCTGACACAGCTCGAGATAAAGGTATCAAACCAACTGTAAAATATTCAGAATATTATTCCCTTTAATGCACAAGGCTTGGTTTTTCAGATTATGCCTTTATTGTTTTTATATACAGTACTGAATCCATATTTTTCGTATGTTTTAAATACTGTACCTACTTAAATTCATTAAACTCTGACACCGTTTCAGATAAAGGTATCAAACCAACTGTAAAAATCTCTAAATATTATTCCCTATAACGCACAAGGTTCTGTTTTCAGATTACTAATGAGTTTTTTTTTTTTTTTGACAGTACTGAACCCATTTATATCCATGAAACTTGAACACCGTTTAAGCTAAAGATATCACACCAACTGTATATTTTTCAGCTCATTAATCTTTTGTTTTTTATATAGAGTACTGAACTTTAAATTTTTTTTAGACAGTCCTGGAACCCATTTCAATACATTAAACTGGAACAACATACATACATGCATACACACACACACACACACACACACATATTTATATTTATCAAAATATAAATATTTTCTAGCAATATAAATCTTTGCTATCACTTCTTAACAATTTAACACATCCTTGCTGAATAAAAGT